CCCAGGGAACGGAGTACATCCCATGGCCCTACACCAGGAATAGACAGTGAAAGTGAGGATGATGTGGCTACACTTGGCATGGATAGACCACAGGCATGAGGAGGAGGAGGAGGAGGAGGAGGAGGAGGAGGAGGAGGAGGAGGAGGCGGAGGCGGAGGCGGAGGCGGAGGCAGAGGAGGAGGAGGAGGAGGGGAGGAGGAGGAGGAGGCGGAGGCGGGGCGGCGGCGGCGGCGGCGGCGGCGGCGGCGGCGGCGGCGGCGGCGGCGGCGGCGGAGGAGGAGGCGGCAGAGGCGGCGGCGGCGGTGCCGCCACAGCCATGCATGACTCACCAGCCCAGGCTGGGACCCACGCCGCTGCCTCATGCCTATAAGCATAATATAAAATCATACTGGTCCACAGATCGGATAATTTGTACCCCAGCCTTCAGGGAAATCATCCCAGTGAACAGGTTTATCATACTGTTACGTATGTTGCACTTCTCTGACAAAACCAGGCCTGACAGAAGTGACAAGTTATACAAGATTACGAAATGTTTTTATGTATCTGACAGATGTGTGTGGCACAGTGCATTCTAATCATAAACATATGCCCAGGTTCAACGCAGGCACTCATGCTGGTGAAGTGCAGGTGTTTACTGCCAATGACATCATGGCATTACGGAGGCATGACAAACGAGATATCACATTGTTGACAACCATTCACCCTAATGAAATGAAAGACAGTGGCAAAGTTGATAGAGTAACTAATGAACGTATTCAAAAACCAGTAACAGTGCTTGATTATACACAAAACATGCGTTTGGTTGATAAATGTGACATGCAGATTGGCTTTGTCGATTTTGTTTGTAAGAGTTACAAGTGGTACATGAAACTTTTCTTCCATCTCATGGGCATTTCAATGCTCAAAACATATAATATGTACCAAATAAAGACAGGCAACAGACCACGTATGGTGAATTTTGTTTGTCTGTTGTCAGACAACTCATAATGAAGTACCAGGTAACTACACCTGCTATACAAAACCGTGAGGAGGGAAGGTGATCACTTCCTAATACAGTTTCCTGCAACTAAGAAGAAATGAGCTCAGAAGAGATGTGTTGTCTGTGCACAAACAAAACGATGGCAACAAAGATGCAAAGACACTCGGTTTATGTGTGAGGAATGTAAGGTACCTCTGTGCATGTACCCTGTTTCAAGGACTTCCATAGGCTGTAGCAGTTCTAGAAACACGTCCAGTGACTGTACATATGTAAATATATAATAGAACATTAGCATTATACAACATTTGTGCATGTTTATTGTTGTAAACAATACTGGTAAGCAATATTATAATAATACCTTTAGCACAGTTACTGTGTTCAATACAGTGAGTGTATATATATATACATTATATACAGTATTGGTCTCACAGGCCACAAATGCTATTAGAAAAATAAAAAAATTGAAAAGAAAAAATGTAAAAAAAAGAAATGCGATTTTGCAGAAGTCACTGATGTTGCCACCACCCGGTCATTTTGGGTCAACTTTACACCTCTATATCTCGGTAAGTACTGATCAGATTTTTTTTTTTATTACCTTCACAAAAATATTATCTATAATTCTGTAATAAAAATAATTTTTTTTTTTTCAAAATTTCTTGGACACTGAGGGACCCATTGAAATTTTGTCTCTGGACCCTGAAAGGGTTAATAACATAGAAACATGACATATACTCTAGAATGAATAAAATACGTCATTACGTATATCACAAATGGTGTTGTGTTGTGTTGTGTTGTTGGGTGTATAAGGGCCACTGAGAGCATCAGAGGCCACTCCCTCAACTACCTAAAATCATACCTTAGTAACAGAACTCAATATGTGTATGCAAATGATGCAAACTCTTCCACCCAACCAATCACAGTAGGAGTCCCACAAGGAAGCATCCTTGGACCACTCCTCTTTCTCATCTACATCAATGATCTACCGAATGCATCACAGTTACTCAAACCCATATTATTTGCAGATGACACTACATATGTCTTTTCCCACCCAAACACAGTCATACTAGCAAACACAGTCAATGCTGAATTACTGAAAATATCTGCCTGGATGATGACTAACAAACTTACCCTGAACACTGATAAAACCTATTTCATTCAGTTTCGAAACAAAGCTGCAAATGATCCAATTAACATAACGCTAAATGGATCATCAGTCACAAGACTCACAGAGGGAAAATTCTTAGGTATCCACCTTGACAGTAGCCTTAAGCTCCAGACACACATACAACAAATCACCAAGACTGTAGGCATACTATCAAAGATAAGGTACTACGTTCCACAATCAGCTCTCCTGGCACTGTACCATTCACTCATATACCCTTATCTTACATATGGAATTTGTGCATGGGGATCAACAACATCCAATCACCTAAAACCCCTAATAACCCAGCAAAAGGCAGCAGTAAGAATGATAACAAATTCCCACTCCTGCCAGCAAACTCCACCGATTTTCAAAAATCTGAATCTGCTCACCATTAAGAACATCAATACTTATTCATGTGCCTACTACATACACAGAACAATACACACAAATATAAACCCTCCACTCAAACTTCTCCTCACCAACCTAAACAGGACACATGACCACAACACAAGACACAGATCTCTTTTTGATATACCTCGTGTCCATATCACACTGTGTAAAAACTCTATGCACATAAAGGGCCCCAAAATATGGGATTCATTACCAGAAGATATTAAAGTAACCCAGTCTGAAAATCAATTTAAGACTCTTCTCAAAAGCCACTTAATCACCCTAGACTAAATGCTAAATACTCAGTACACCTACCATCCGACTTACGACCTGCTCGACTAACGACCGTGTTTTTTATGCCAAATTTCTGGGAAATAAACAACTATTTGTGTTGTACACAGTGTTTATCCTAAACTTTACAGTATAAAATACAGTATTAACAACATAAAAAGTAAAGTAAAACATAAAATACCAAAATAAAACAATAAAATAAAGTCATTACAAAAATGTTTTGTTGATATTCAGTAGTAAAGTTCGACTTACGACCATTTCGACTTATGACCAGTTTCTCAGAACCAAACTCGGTCGTAAGTCGGATGGTAACTCACCTACGTACTACCACATCATAACTGAAAAAAATCACATTGAACCTTTTATCCATTGTTGACAGGAATATAATTGAATCATTGTTTTTCACAAAAGCATTTTAGAATATAAATACGTATATCTTTGTATTATACAAATTCTGATTCGTTTATTATTAATATTCTACTGTACAACTATGAAATAATTACTTTCCTACTGCACAACTATGATATACTACTCCTTAGTATTAACCCTTTGACTGTCGTGGCCATATATATACGTCTTACGAGGTACCGTGTTTGACGTATATATACTCATAAATTCTAGCGGCTTCAAATCAAGAAGAAGAAAGCTGGTAGGCCCACATGTGAGAGAATGGGTCTGTGTGGTCAGTGTGCACCATATAAAAAATCCTGGAGCACGCAGTGCATAATAAGAAAAAAAAAACTCCGACCGTTTTTTTTTAATTAAAATGCCGACTTTGTGGTCTATTTTCGTATAGTATTCATGGTTGTATTCTCATTTTCTTGGTCTCATTTGATAGAATGGAAAATATATTATAGGAATAGAGGTGATTTTGATTGATTTTACTATAAAAGGAACCTGGAAATGAAGCTCAAAGTAGGGGAAATGTTTGATTTTTGCCAATGTTCAAAAGTAAACAAATGATGTCATTGTCCAATAAATGTCCAACTAGCCATTCTAATATGCAGTCATGAATGGGTTGATGTTATTTATACAATTATTACAATATTGCAGTAGTCTGCATAATAGTAAATCTTCTATTTTTTGTTTGAATAAAAATTCAAAATAGAAAGCAAGAGTAATATCAAAGGGGCCTGGAGACATGACTGATGAACAAAGAAAATGTTATTTTAGAGCCAGGAATGCCTGCATTGTTCATTCTGGACCTTATTTTGAAATTGTCATATTTTTTAATTTTTGTGAAATTGGCCAAATTGCAAATTTCTGATCACATTATTGGGTAGTTGAAATCGGTAAATGGGCAGTTTCTTGTACTCAATCGATAGAAAAATTGGAGTTCTAAAGAAAGAGCTATGATTTTGGTCGACTGGAACAATGGAATTAGCCGAAAATAGGGCTCAAAGTGGGCGAAATCGCCGATTTGTAAATATCGCCGAGGTCGCTAACTTCGCGAGAGCGTAATTCCGTCAGTTTTCCATCAAATTTCGTTTTTTTGTGTGTGTCATTACAATCGGGAAAAGATTCTCTATCATTTCATAAGAAAAAAGTTTTTTTTTTTTTTTAATTTTGCGACACCAGGAGACACCTCAGGATTGGGGGTTGCGACAGTCAAGGGGTTAAGTAGAATGTAAGTTGGCCCATAATGCCTAGGCATAATAAGAGGCTCTCTTTGCATTGCAACCCACTTTTGTATATACACAATCTCAATGTACTGTTTGCAAAGACATTAAATAAATAAATAAATAAATATTAAGTATGAGTTGGGGAGCCAGGGCTACCTACAACTGACTTCCTACAAATAAGTACTACTCACCTCTCTCCCTACATTAAGATTACAAATACTTTAAGATAAGTAATGAGTGTACTATGTATTTTACTTTTTGTTTTTTGTTTTTAATGCCTAGTTCTATTACTAACTTAATATAATTTAGTGTAAACTTGTTGTCTGGCATTTATGTGCATTTATAAATGGAAAAAAAGGCATTCTGCTTTCCAGCGATGTCTGCTTTCCGGCGATAGCCTGGAACCTAACCCGCCGTATAAGTGGGGCCCTACTGTATGTATGTACGCACATATGTGTATAGATCATGTTTAACTGACCTATAACTTATAACTGAACCGTGTGTGTGTAGATCATATTAAACTTATTAAACTTACCTATAATGTAGGTATGTGTGAAAGTAAAGTTTAACTTACCTATCAATGTGGCCACCAACAATGAGTTTCCTCAGATCTTTAATGGAAGTAACCAGACCTGATATAATGCGATCAGGCTGCACCTCACAAGGGGATGATGGAAGCTTACACACTGAACAAGTGTTATTCTCCAGCCTCTCAAGACAGTCAGAACAAAAGAAGTGATCACATCGTCCCAGGCACTGGGGGTCAGTAGCAATTTCATTGCTGTGAAAAAATATTTAAATAAAGTATAAGTTAGTGCAACAAATACAGTACAGTCAAACCACTAAATCTGAAAGCTTTATTTTATAATTTGATTACACAATGAAGAGCACATCACAAACAAGTCATCATGAGCTTCTGCACAGCACTCAATATAATTTCTGCTTGGCATGTGATTAGTAACTTGAAAATTAATTGTAGGATTGCATTCAAAACATGTTCACTGGTTTTTTCACACCCACATAAGAAAAAAGATAGACGAGCTAAGATTAATTCAACATGCAGGAGGCATAGATATTATTTCTATAACAGAGACCAGATTCAACTTAAAAAATACAGTGGACCCCCGGTTTACGATATTATTTCATTCCAGAAGTATGTTCAGGTGCCATTACTGAGCGAATTTGTTCCCATAAGGAATATTGTGAATTAGATTAGTCCATTTCAGACCCCCAAACATACACGTACAAACGCACTTACATAAATACACTTACATAAATGGTCGCATTGGGAGCTGATCGTAAAGCGGGGGTCCAGTGTATCTACCTTCTGAATCCCACATACAGGGCTATAAATTATTCCACACTGATAGGGGTCAACAGGAAGGGTGGTGGAGCGGCAATTTAAACTGTTACATTAGACAAGCCATAAAAATGGAAGTAATGGACACTGAATGTATTTGGCTACAGCTTCTTGAGGTATTTGAAAAACTAATCTTGGGTGTGATTTACAGGTCCCCAAACCTTGATAGGGAACACAGTAAACTTCTATGGGGTAAAATTACCAAGGCTCCCGCTTCACACGCGGAGGGCACGGGTTCGATTCCCGGCGGGTGGAAACATTCGACACGTTTCCTTACACCTGTTGTCCTGTTCACCTAGCAGCAAATAGGTACCTGGGTGTTAGTTGACTGGTGTGGGTCGCATCCTGGGGGACAAGATTAATTAACCCTTTCAGGGTCCGTCCCGTAGATCTACGGCTTTACGTTCAGGGTCCAAACCGTAGATCTACGCCATGAGCTCAGCTCACTCTGATAAACTGTGAGTGGTACATTTGGGCCTAGATATGAGAGAATACATCTATGTGGTATGTGTGCACCACATAAAACAGATCCTGCAGCACACTGTGTATAATGAGAGAAAAAAAATGAAATCATGATTTTTCGATTAAAACAGCAACTTTGCAGTGTCTTTTCGCATGTTTTTTATAGTTGTATTTGCGATTTCTTGGTCTCATTTGATAGAATGGAAGACATATTACAGAAATAGAGATGATTTTGATTGGTTTTAGCACTGGAAATGGCTTGAAACTGAACTCAAAGTAGCGGAAATGTTAAATTTTTGCCGATATTCAAGAGTAAACAAACGACCTCACACGTCTAATACACGTCAGCTGGTGGGTCTAATATACATTCACAAAATATGGTGATGATATTTATACAATTATTACAGTATTGCATAACAGTAAATCTTCTATTTTTTGGTGTGAATAAAAATTCATTATGTGAATAAAAAATAAAAATGGAATTTATTTGTAAAGCCTCAAAATATAACTAATGAACAGAGGAAATGTTAGTTTAGTGCCAGGAATGCCTACATTGTTTATTCTGGACCCTATTTTGAAATTGGAATATTTTGAACTTTGTGTTAAATTGGCCAAATTAACAATTTTCGATCACTTTATTTTGTAGTTGAAACAGTTGACTTGGCGATTTCTTGTGCTCAATCGATAGAATAGAAGTAATACTAGTGAAATAGCTAAGAATTTGGTTGATTGGAATAATGTAATTGGCCTAAAATGGGAGTCAAAGTCGGCAAAATCGCCGATTCGTAAATATCGCTGACACATCAAAATTCGCGAGAGCATAATTTCGTCAATTTTCCACCAAATTTCGTACTTTTTGTTTTATTACCTTCACAAAAAGATTCTCTACGATTTCATAAGAAAAAATAACAAATTTTTTTTTTGAAAATTCTTGGACACTGGTGCGTGACTCCAGATTTGGGCCTTGGACCCTGAAAGGGTTAAGGACCCCAATTTATTTATTTACTTATTTAGTAATTTAAGCATACATACAGAGGTACAAAAAATACAGGTAAGAGCAGCATGCCAAAGCCACTTATATGCATAGCATTACGGGCTGGCTTAAAATTAACTTAAGATTAACTAAGCAATGATGAAATCAGTGATAAAACATTATTGTAAACAGATAACTATAAAGCACAAATGAGTATTATAAAGACAGGTCATATGGTTGCTTGCATTGCTGTACATTCAGTCGAATGGAGTATTCTGTTAGGTAGTGCATTTAAAAAAATAATAAAGTTAGATTGGGTCCTAGGTTTAACATTTGTGTGATATAATTGTGAGTAACATAGAGGATATACAATTTATAAGGTTCAGTTATTCAGTATTTATTTGGTTTTGAGTGAGTAAGTGATCTTTGAGAAGAGACTTGAATTTATAAACAGGTAGTGTTTCTTTTATATTTACAGGTAATGAATTCCAGATTTTAGGGCCTTTTATGTGCATTGAGTTTTTGCATAGCGTGAGATGGACACGAGGAACATCAAAGAGTGATCTGTGCCTTGTGTTATGGTCATGTGTTCTGTTGAGGTTGGCAAGGAGATGTTTGAGGGGAGGGTTAATATTTTTTCCCGGGGAGTTAAGTGTTCTTTGTTTTGTAATAGGTGCAATAAAAAGTAGGGGATTTTTGTATGGTGATTTAGGGTTGAGTTTTTTGGGAATATTGGTGGGTTTTTGTTGCCTGTAGTGGGGAATTTTTTAATAAATTTAACGGGCGCCTTTTTTTGGGTAATTATTTGGTCGGGAGTTTTTTTTAATTTGTTGTTGGGGCCCCCATGCAAAAATTTCCCAAATGGGTGAATAGGGGAAAATTTAAGAGAGGGGAAAAAGGGGCCCAGGAAAGCGGGACTGGGGAAACATAGTACCTTTTATTTTCGATGTATCCCTACGTCTTTAAAAATTTTTTCTTAAAAAATTTTGTTGTATATGTGTAAAAAATTTTGAGTCTATTATCGAGGTGGACCCAAGGAATTTTCCCTTGTTAGTTTTTGTGATAGGTGATCCGTTTATTGTTATTTTAAAGAGGAAACATTTTGAAACCCTCTGTTACCAAACTAAAAGAAAAAAGGTTTGTAAATGTTTGTGTAAGTTTGTTAGCCCTCACCCGGGGTTGATATTTTCTTTTTAATTCGGTGTTTACAGTTTTTGGCTAGCATGACTGGGTGGGGGTGAGGAAGACGTATGTAGGTAAATCTGCAAAAAGTTTGGGTTTGATTTAATTGCGAAAAATTTGGTAGGTTTTTATGTATAGGGGGAAAAAAGAGAAGGGGGGCCAAGGACACTTCCCTGGGGGGGAAAACCAACTTTTTGGGTTTGTGGGGAAAAGAGCTTCCCCCATTTGCGTAAAAATTTTGGCTTTGTTGCTGAGGTAAGACTTGAGGTTTGTTGAGGGAGTCCCCCTCTAAAAACCATGGGTGTGACAATTTTAGGTGGGGGAATTTCATGGTCAACTGTATAAAAAAGCTTTAGGGAAAGTCAATGAAGTTTCCCCGTGGGACTTTTTTTTTCTCTATTGCCGTGTTTATATGTTCTAGCAGTGTTTTAATAGCTTTTTGTATTTTTATTGGCCTGAATCCAAAGGGGGCAGGGGTTGAGAATGTTTTGGGAGATGGGGGTAGGAAGAGATTCGTTTAATTAATTTTTTTTTAAATTTTTCGAAGATTTTTGGAGAGGGGGGGAAAATTGGATTTTTTGCCTATAGTTATTAAAACTAAAAGGGACCCTTGTTTTTTTTGGGAACTGTGGGGAAAGGGTTGGAGGTTTAAATGGATTTGTTAAAAAGTGTTGCAATGTTTGGGTTTGTAGTCCCTTGTTGACGCTTTTTGTTTTAAAAGGGGGGTTAAGGTTTTTTAAATCTCCGCCTTTTTTTTTCAAGTGCGTTGAAAAATAAGGGAGACTTCGTTTGGGTTAGTCGGAGCTGGGAAAACGGGTGTGTTGGGTTTAGTTGCCAGTGAGGTAGTCATTTGGTGGGGTATCTGAGCATGGGATTTTATTGGAAGGGGTTTTGCCCTATGTGGAGAAGAAATCATTGAGTCGTTTGCTGTTTCTGTTGGGGGGGAGTTGGGGTTCATCTGATTTTGCTAATTTTATTTCGCTATGCCCATGTTATTTTTTTTGGGTTTTCCCCAGAATTTTGATGGGGTCTTCCGGGTTTCCTTTTTTATATTCCTCGTAAGTTTGGAAAAATCTGTTTCATAATACAATTTTTTTCCCCCCTTTTTTCGGGGGCTGGTTGGGGACTGACGAGAAAACGTTTTTTTTGGTCTTGGTTATGTGACCCTTTCCCTGTACGGGTTTTTCATATCGGTTTTTTGGTTTTTTTATGGATTGAGAATGGGGTGTTAGCCGGGGCTTTTCGGTTCTCTTAGCTGTAATCTTTTTTAGTTTTTTTTAGGTCAGTCTTGTTATAAAGGTACGGGGTTTTTTTAGAAAATTATTAAAACATTCGTCAATATCTGTTTAGATTTCTAGTTTCATTGTCCCAGTAAAGGGTTTGTTACTGTTGTTGTGAAGTTTTAATGGGTCCTCATTGTGGGAAATCCCGAAGGTGATTTTTTAGTGTCTTGGGGGATTTTAAAGAGTTGTTATTTGGGAAAGTAGGGTAGTGGGTTTTGTGGTTTATCTGTAAAAAATGCCTTTATTTTAAAGGGGATATGGGTTTTTGGGGTTTCCAAAAATTTTGGTAAAGTAGGGAAACTAGTCTCTGTAACTTTGTAGGGTTTTTTTAATTTCTGTTGGGGAGAACATGCGTTATCATTGGTTTGTTGGGAAATTTAGTAACGTGTGGGTCCGGTTTTTTGGGAGTTTTTATTGAAGTCATGAGAGTAGTAAGTGTCTTTTGTTATGCGGTTTCATCAGTTATCATGCTTCCTAGGTTTTGACCCAAATTGGCTAATTTTTTGAATTTTGGAACTCTG